AAGGCCATCGGGACCGGTCGGCTGTGCCAGCCCCGAGTGGTGCAAATAGGATGGGGATACGTGTTAGCACACCCCTGGCAACCCACGGTCCCCAGTGGGGGGCCAAAGGGGACGATTTTGCTTCCCACCCTGCTCTGGGCGCATGGGGTGACGCTGGTAGCCGGGCAGATGGAGGGGACTGGGGGGACACAGGAGGAGGGAGATGAGGGGTGTGCGGGAGGATGAAGGGTGATGGCTGCGTGGGCAGAGGGTGGGGACAGATACGGCACTGGGGCGGACATGGGTCAGTGGGAAGGGCCACCGAGGGCTACCACGAGGTGTCTGACCACCACAGCCTGGCTGGGCTGGGCTGCCCCAGGGATGGCACAGGGATGCTCCTGCACACTGGGACCCCGGGGCAAATCTTCCCAGATTGCGCCCAGAGAGGTCTGAGGCTCAAATATCACGTCAGATCCCAAACTGTGGGGCTCAGTTTGGGATAGAAGCTGGGGGCTCAGCATTACTGGCAGCCAGGCCCTCTCCCCCCCATAACCCAGCTGAATGCGGGTGCTGTGCCCCACTGCCACATCCATGCAAATAAATTGCTAAAAAAACGAGGACAGCTCTGCTTTAAGGATGCTCTAAACTCAAACTCGTAATTTTACCACTGACTTAGCAGATTGCTCCAGTATTAAAGGCTCTCCTAAACTATTGCCACCACATTACCCCACACCCTGTACCTCCCCCCACACCCTATGGAGCTCGCTGAGCCCCTCAGGGGCACAGTGTGTCCAGCTGGGGGATGCTTGGGGCCGGAGCAGCTCGCTGGCGGGCCCTGGCACACAGACGCTCCACGAGGGTCAAGCACAAGCTAACTGAATGCATAACTTTATTAAATAAATGCTTTGTCATGAGAAAAGACAAAGATCAAAGAGTAACATAAATTATAAGTTGAATAAATAGTATACAGCAATCTTCACTTTTTAATAAAATGTGAGATTTTTTTTTTAAGTACAAAATGCTAAACAGAGCATTAAGCTCTTCTTCCATTGTCAGTTTTTCACAAACTGCTTTTTTTTTTTTTCCCACCAGTAAGATTATGAGTATTTCTTGTTTACTGGAAAAAAAAAAAAAAACAACAAAAACAAAACAAAACACAGAGCTACCGTATGTATGTAAAGCTATAAAAAGCTACCGTAAAATGTGTAGTGAGTATTGCTTAAAGATAAAAACCAGGCAGGAAACTCGGAATCTGGTGTGTTTTAACAACTGTGTTACAACGGTGGGTAACGTGCGCAGTGACGTCTGTCCCGGTGGCAGTGGCAGGGGGCTGGGGGGGCT